CTTTTCTTACCATACTGATTTATTTTTTTTACTTTTTTTGAGTGATTGTTTGCAATACACTTTAAAAAATTAACCCAAATCCACATTCAAATAACACTATACTACTTCATGCATGGTGTGAGTACCTCCTAACAAAATTATGCTAACTCCTTCCTCCTGTCCCTTGTATTATCGATATCATTCATTTCACTTACAAGCATAATCATATATAATATATAAATACACATATATGTGTGTGTGTGTGTGTGTTTGAACACAGTTATCTGTTAGATCAGTTATGAAAAAAAGTAAGGTTTTTTCTTCACCATTCCATCTTCAATGCTCTTCATTTCTTGATGTAGATACAAGTTCTTAAAGAATTTCTTTTAACTTTCCTTGCAAGGCAGGTCTATTGACAATAAATTCTTTCAATTTTTGAGAAATTATTTCTCCTTCGCTTTTGACAATTTTGTGGGGGACAGAATTCTAAGGTAGTGGGGTTTTTTTCTCTCAACACTTTAAATATTTCACTCCACTCTCTTCTTGTTTACATGGTTTCTAAGGAAAAGCCAAGTGTAATTCTTACCTTTAAGTTTTATATAATAGGCCTTTTGGAAGTTCCTCATTAAAGTTTCTGATAGGAGAAATTAATTCCAGGGTTTATAATTATAATAACTAATATTTAAGTAACATTCTGCCAAGAGATATACTAAATTCTCACATACATTGTATAATGCTAAATACAACCTTATGAGACAAGTCCTTAGGGTTCAGGAAATGAATTCTGAAGTCAAATTGCTTGGATTCAAATCCTGGCTCCATCAATTCCTAGTTATCTTTGACTTTGATGCCTTGGTTTTTTCATTTGTCTAAAAAAAAAAAGGAAGGAGTAATAAGTCTGCCTTACAATGTTGTAATTAGTAGTAAATGAAGTAATATGTGTAGAGCTTAGTGTGGTACCTGGCTCAATAATGTTATCTATTATTATTATTAGCTTTATCCAGGTATGAGATGCCTTCTTAAAATCTGTCTTTTTTCTTCACCTTCTTCAAAACCAAGAAAAGCTGAGATTTCCTTCAAAAGTGAATTCTACCAACCACTCTAGAGAAAAGAGACAAGCTGCTACACTGGGAAATATTAAAATGAAGTAAATGTATGGATCATTTATTTGATATTTTTTATTACATAATTTGAAATTTAAAATAAACATATAGGGTGTTTTAACAACCACTGTTATTAAAATGTAAAATAGCAAAGTTCCTGAATGACCTATTTTTGAGGAACTGGTTACAGAATAGCATTCTAACATATTCTCTGCAACCACTAAAAGAAAGTCTTAAAAATGTTTTCCATGAATTATTTTAATTGTGCTGAGCATACATTGACTTTACAATTGGAAAAGAAAAAAGAAAAAATAGAAACAAAAGATAATGAATAGTTTTTGGCAATGATGACAATGGTACTGTGGACTCCAGGGGACTTTTTTTTTTTTTTTTAAATAAAAGGAGGACCTATCTTGGTTTTATTTGTGCTTATATCTACTTTCTTCATTCAGATTCATCTTGATAGAAATGTTGTGAAATAGCCTTCAATTTTCAGGATAAGAGATGTGGTTTTGGTATAATGTTCTAGTGAGAAATAAAAAAGATTAAAAAATTATCAACTGGGAGTGGTGATGAGAGCGCATTAGGTCAGAGTCCTTCTGCAAAAGATATTCCAGCATCTCCAAATCTGATTCTCTGCCTCCATCAAGAGTCACTTGTAGCCACTTAAGACTACTCTGTTCTAGACACCTGATGAACTGGCCCTTTATTTTCCCACTTAATATCTATTGAAAACCAACTATGTGCTAGGATCCGTTATAGGTGTCGAGGACATATAAACAAATGAATAAAAATACTTGTCCTCATGAAACTTACTTTTTAGTGGTGGTGGATATTTCAAACAAAATAAGTTAATTACATAACACATTGGATGGTAATGAGTACCAAGGTAAAAAAACAAAGATGAGAAAGATAAACAGTGGTAGGAGTGGATTAGGGTGTGCAATTTTGGACAGGGAAGGCTCCATTGAAAAGGTAACGTTGAAAGACTAGAAAAATGAGTGAGCCATGCCAGCATTTGGAAAATTCCAAGAGAGGGAATGGCAAAGTTGTGAAATATTTGTTTGTGAAAGTTCAAGAAAATCCAGTGAGTGGAGGTGCGTGAGCAAAGTGAAGAATAGTATAAAGTGGAGTCAGAAAGTTTTAAGTATCTAGCTTTTATTGAGTAAAATGGGGAAATGGTGGGTTTTGAGTAAAGGAATGCCATTTCTGATTTATATATTAAAGATCACTTTGGCTGCTATGTTGAGGCCATATTGTTGACAGGATGATCATCTGGATGATGATGGGTCAAGACCACAGTGATAAGAATGGCATGTTGAAAATTGTGAGATTCTGGCTATATTTTGAAGCTAGAGCAAAACTTATTTAATAAACATGATTTATTCATTTATTGATTGGCTATGGAATGTTAAAAAAAAAGTTAATGAAAACTCCAAGGATTTGGGCCTAAACACATCAAGTATGGTGTTCCTATAAACTGATGATTGAAGACAGTGGGAATAAAGATTATGGATATGGGAACTGAGATGTTCACAAATCCAGAACTGATCATGTTAAGATGCCTATTAGACACCCACATGGAGAGGTCAAGTGAATAGATATATCTATATGCTTGTGTGTATATATGCATATACATATGAAAGAAAGACCTGGTCTGAAAAATCACCTTGGACATCCAAAGTATGGTGTTTGAAGACATAAGACTGGGTGAAGAGACTGCAGAAGTGAAAAAGTCCCAAGTGTTTTTCTTTTGTGGCACTCCAACATTAAAAAGTCACAAAGATGAAAGTGCACCAAGAGACTGAGTAGAAAAGCCAATGATGTTAAAACAAACAAACCCAACAAAGACAGTATTGCACAAGAGATAGAACAGGCATAAAAATGTTTCAGAGGAACTATGTTAACGGTTACTGTTGGGTCAAAATGAGTACTAATAATTTACATTTTAATTTAGAAACATGAAGGTCATCAATGAATTTAACAAAAGCATTTTTAGTGGGGCAGTAACGGTAAAATTTGATTAGGGTGGGTTAATAAATTTGAAAGAGAAAATCAGAATAATTCCTGCTTGGATCTTTTTTTCCCCCCCAAGTACCTACTGGGAAAGCATTCATAAATTCTAAAAACTGCAACTTTCCAAATATACATAAATGCTAACCCAAGACATCTATATTTCAATACAACTTTGCATAGTAACCACATTAAAATAAGGAACTGACAACGCAGTTTGTTGTATGATTAAATAAGCACAGTAAAGCACAATTCTAAACAAAGACATTTAAGGGGGTAATAAAAGAGCACATTATCTTTCCTGGAAGCACTGACATCTGATGTATTCCCAAGTGACAATTTACTTCTATTGCCATTGAGCAGCAGTTAATACGAAGTAATTTCTTCAAGACATACTATATTTCATGCCAAATTTAACATTCATTTTTACTTAGGAAATTCCAGGAATACTGAAGACAAAGGGGATGTTATCTGAAGTTTAAGAATCTTTAAGGATCCATACAATTATCTTCAATACTAAAAAAATGCTATTACAAATCTTAATGTAGCATATACTTAGAAATGCTTACTGTTTTTGTGAATAAAAAATGTGTATCAATTACTTGGGTATCTAAAACTATGGCCACAATGTTTCTTTACACAATCTTAAATTTGGAGGTGATTTGTACTATGTCTAGCGCAGTTCTCAACATGGGTGCGAATGGAACAATTTTGCCTATCAGGGGACATTTGGTAGCATCTAAAGTCACTTTTGATTTTCACAACCTGGGGAAGGGAGGAATGCTACTGGCCAACAGTGGTAAAATACAGGGTCACTGCCAAATATGCTAAAATGCACAGGAAAGGCCTCTACAACAAATTATCTGACTCAGAAAGTCAATAGTGGCAAGCTCTGGAGACTGAAATTATGCAAGTGACACAGGAGC